ATACTGTCTTTAAAGTCACTGGTTTCTTATGCTTACTCAGGTTTGCTGGTGATACTTGATAGTGTTATTTAGCTCTTGTGTTCTAAATCTGTAGAATTCTTTTAAAATTTATTTTCAAAGAGACAAAGAGAGCCAAATATGATTGGCCATGGTATAGGAACACAGCTTGAGGTCACCCCAAATACCATCTTCTAACATGGTATCAGTTTCACAAAGTCGCTGTAAAGTTATAAACAATGGTTAGATTCATTGTTCAACAAAGGTGAGGTATGTGAGTTGGAGCAGAGGTCTCAGAGGTTATCTTGATGACATCTTGACCTTTTGTAAGGATTGACTGGATAGTCAGAGGATGTTGGTTCCCAGGTGGACGTAAGCAATAAATGGCTGTTTAGGGAGCTAAAGGTAGCCCAAGACAATCTGCATCCTCAACATTCTGTCTCTCCACAGTCACAGCCATGCTAACCAACTGTGTAGAGTGTTGAGCAGTGCGAGTTTGGTGGCATTTGTTTGTTTTCTAAAAATGTTAGCTCATAGTTCCTTCCATTGGTCAAGTAATAATATTATGTGCATGCAAAGGCCAAATACTGCTTTGTGTCCCGGTGTGCTAGAGACTTTGTTCATCGCTAGAAGGAGATGCTGCATAGGCAGGAACACAGTCACCAGGAGCAGTAAATACTAACCCACTCACGCCACCAACTCTTCTGCTGTGATGACCCAGGCTAAGGTTTTTCAACCTCTTATCTGCACACAAGTGACATGTGAAAATAGGAACTAATGTCAGCATAATCAAAACACAGTGTGGCCCAAGGAGTTAAAGGCAGTTGATAAGAGAAGAGGGTATTTTACTTAACTAGAAATGGTATTTTTAAACTGCTTAGATGATGTTGCCCCATTTGTAGTTATTTGTATTTGGTAAGATGATTTAATTGATGTTTGGGTTATTAAAAATGACCTACTACCTTTTGAATATAGATTTCCTTTTTAATCGGCTTGATTTTATAGCTGTAACTTCATAAAGGGTGAATAGTTCTAATTATGGAAAATGTTGAGTTCTAAAGTATAAATTATAACTCTTGTTTTGGGTAATAATCTGATATGTCCCATTATCTCAGTATTGCACCAAATTCAGTTTGAGAGATTTATTTTACAGATGAAATCAGATAACAGTATAGCATTCCTTTAATTTCTCTTTTATCCAGATTGTCTTTTCCACTATACAAGTATTTTGTTGACAGGGCTGAAAAAGAGAGCTCAGACTTACACAGAATTTTATGGCCTTCTAGGAATAACCAAATCTTAGGTCATCATCAGAATGAGAAATAGGACTCCAATAGGAACCAATATATAATAGTGTCTGGTTTTTTATTGATAAAATAGAAATATTTTAAGTTTTGAAATCCTGCCAGTTATAGTATAGGATACTTTAAATACTAATTTAATCAAGAAACATGGGCTTTTTTTTTTTTGCATGTGTAGTGCGTGTGTGTGGTGATTTGAATGAGAATGGCTTGAATAGGTTCATATATTTTTGGTCCCCAGTTAGTGGAACTGTTTGGGAAGGATTATGGGGGTGTAGCCCTGTTGGAGGAGGTGTGTCATGGGGGTGGGCTTTGAGGTATCAAAAGGTTATCAAGTAGCAACGAAAATCATTTTATGTTCCAGTTAGCTCTCTGTGCCTCATAATGTGAGCTCTTAGGTACTGCTCCAGGCCATGTCTGCCTGCCTGCTGACGTGCTTCCTGACATGAGGGTTTTGGACTCTGACCCTCTGAAACTATGTGCCCCAAATAAAATCTCTAAGTTGCCTTGGTCATGATGTTTTATCACAGCAATAAAAAAGTAGCTAAGATACACACACACACACACACACACACACACACACACACACACACACACACACGGGTGCGCATGCACATTTTCTGCATCTGTGTGCCACTAGTTGACTAGTCTAGCCAACTTGCCCCAGGGATGTATCACCAACCTCTGCCTTGCAAGAGTGAGGATGATAGGCATTTACCACCGTGCCAGGCATTTCCACATGTGTTGGGGATGTGAACTAAAAAAGAATTAACCCAAGGTTTTGGGTTTCCCTGATAAGAGTAAATGAGATCAGAGTTACCCTAAAGTAATCAGAGTTCTGTGGCAAAGCTTTCAGAGCCTTTAAATCCATGTTTTTTGGATTTTTTAAGAGTTTGAATTTAAAATAGTTATCCCTAAATAGAATACCTTTTGGAATATTTAACATGTCTTTGCCAATTTAAAAATGAAAGTTTTAAAAATCCAAATTATATTTAATAATGAGATAATATTTGTCTCAGTGGTTAGGAATATTTATAAATCATCCACAGACCTAGATTCAATTCCCAGCACCATCTTCAGATGGTTCACAACCACTTGTAACTCTAGCTCCAAGGAATCTGGTGCCCTCCTCTGTCGTAGGTGGAGCCACTATTTGTACCCTATGTTCAGACAAGTAAGTTTAGCTTGCGAACATACCTTCCTAATGACTCCTCATGCTATGGTGCCCCCAACCATAAAATGATTTTCGTTGCTACTTGATGACTGTAATACTGCTGCTGTTATGAATTGTAATGTAAATATCTGATATGCAGAATTCTGATATGTGGGTCCTGTGAAAGGGACATTCAGCCTCCAAAGGGGTCACAACCCACAGATTGAGAACAGTGTTGCTAGAAGTACACAAGGCTGGTATCTCCTTGTCTGGTTTCTGAGTGAGATTTTTGGCTAGGCAGATTGCTCTCTAGAGACATAAGCCACGTGGAACGTGGCACAGATTTTTGTGAGCTAACTGAGTTTTGCAGGTAGGCTGTCATTAGCTGGTGTCACTGATTGGGACCACTACAATCAGGAGGAGCACAGCTACCACTGAGACCTGAACACCAGCAGCTGTGAGCTCTGCTTCCTTTGTTTCTACTTGACTCCAGAGTCCAGCCCTGTGGTACCCACACTCTTCTCCGAGGTAAAGAGTATGCTTGTCCTTGGACTGCTAGGAAAACTGGATGTCAGCTTCTTGTTCTGTCTTCACAACTTGTAAACTGGGTACAGGCTGCTCTACTTCTGATGCTGTGCCAGTAGCAGGGAGGAATATTGTAGTCTTAAGTGAGACCATCAGTAGCTTCTAGTGTAGTTTTTGTAAGACCTGTCTTGTTTCTAAGATTGAAGTTTTCATTGGGTTATTCTCACCTGGGAGTGGTTCATTAGTTGTGACTTTGGGGCAGGAATAGTGAAGGCTAACAACTTTTGCTGACCTCATGTCTAAAAAGTAAGTGCTTAAGCATTAACTGTTCCATTGATGACTGTGATTCGTTTCTTATGGAAACTAGCAGCTGTGACCCAGGAGTGGAGACAGGGTCATCCACACAGTGAAAGACAGTGACACCTCCAGACAAAAGGAAAACTACCCCAGCAGCTTCTTCATGCTTTATTACACTCCTGGCCTGAAGCTCTTCAGCATGGAACACTGAAATGATTTGGACTTTGAGCATTTTCAAAGCAATGTAGCAAATTTTCAGTGTGGCCACAGGAAGAATTTGGAGGTATCTGACTTTCTGGTTACAGACAATAAAAATGAACATTCTTTCCTAATACCTAAAGAAAACAGTAACAAAACCATGTTATTTGGTGAGGCAGTGTCTTAGTTTTGAAACCCTTTACTTTGATAAGATACCAGGACAAAAGCAACTGAAGAGGAGGATTTGGTTCATTTCCAGGTTATTCTCCATCACTGCAGGGAGGTTAAAGTGACAGGGACTGGAAGTAGTCACATCACACCACAGTTACATCTGGTAAACAGTGAGTCTGTGCTGCAGGCGGATGCTCAGCTGCCCTTCTGGGACCCCTCCTATGAAAGGCTGCTGCCCATATCTAGGGTGCTCTCCCTCATCAAGTAATCCCAGAAACTCACAGGCATGCCCACAGGCCACCCCAATTCAGACAGTTCTCACTGAGGTCCACTTTACTGCTCAATCTATGTTACATCAAGTCAGTGATCCAAACTAACTGTCATGGGCACTTTAGATATGAAAAAATTGCCAGGGGTTTGGTTGTATTTGTAGGAAAATCCTGGCTCATTGGTGAGAGAAGGGAGGGATTGGACTGTGTCACAGAGGCCTGCCTGCCTTCATACGGTGGCATAGTTTAGATAGCTGAAGAAAGAGACCAGGACACAGGGTTGTGTTCCATGGCTCATGTCGATCACCTGGATTGCCAAGAGGTGTGAGCCTCTACAGCCGGCCATCAGCTCACTAGCTAGTGTCTGTCAGAACTCAGAGCTGAAGGCAGCTGCACACCATCCCCGCCCTGACTGTGCACGGAGCGGTCAAGCATTGATAGCGGAGTGGATTTCCCTTCATACTACTGCTATGGATTGTGACGGTGAGACTCAGAACTGAAGGGGCTGGCATAAATTGTTGGACTGGTCAGCAAATAATGACTTTGCATTAAAGACTCAGGTTCCATTTAGAAAGAATACATAGAAAACTGAGTTCTTCCGTGTTACATTATAGACTAAAGAAGGGTTTTACATAAGGTGAGAGCTACAAGGATCGATCCAGGTAAGAATCTAGTACTTACACTAACTTGAAGGCTTCACTTTGTGCTTCAGTTGACTTAGCCTGTTCATTAAATGACCCTAAGAAGGAATTTTGCTGTGTCAGTGAAGTAATATCAGACCCATTGATAAGTGGTGAGTGTTAAGGAAAGAGCCTGCATGTGTCCCAGGGCTGAATGGAGGTTTAAAGGGGCTTCAGAAACAGTCCAGGGCTGGCTGTGGTGGCGCGCACCTTTGATCCCAGCTCTTGGGAGTCAGAGGCAGACTGATCTCGGAGTTCCAGCCTGGTCTACTGGTTCGAGGACAGCCAGGGCTACACAGAAACCCCTTCTGTCCCCAAAAAGATGAAGAATATTCAAGCAGAATGACTCCCTACAGAGCATGTTTCCCAGTGCTGAACCATAGGAACTAATATCTTCTTTTCCTTCTAGACCCCTGCTCTTCCAGACAAGTGAGCACGTGGCAGAGAGTCCAGCAGTGGGGGATGTCATTCCATTCAGTGTCATCATTCAGTTCCTGTTCACAAGAGCACCGGCTGAGCTGAAATCCCCCTTCCAGGTAATGGGGTGAGGGTAGAACCTTCATGGAGTCTTCCCAAGTCCCATCCTAAAAAAGTCTCCTCACTGAGTGGGCTATTGGCTAACCTCCTGCTTTATTCTCCGATGTCTCTCTAAAAGTGAACAGAAATGGAAGAAAACTCCAGTGCCCGGCATCTGTTTTCTCAGTAAACAGTCACATTTACCTCATGAGTCCAGAATTAGCCCTTTGAAAAATGTCTCAGCTGACTAAGGTGGCACTGCCTATAATCTCAGCCTTGGTGAGGCTGAAGCTAGCGGATTAACATGAGTTCCTTACTGGCCTGACTGACAGAGTGAGACCCTACCTCAGAAATCACCACCGTTGTCACCATCAGACAAAACAAAAAAGACACGAGGCATTTCTATTCATACAGCCATGTCAGTCAGTTGGCAGATCTTAAGGTTTTTGGGTTATCAGTTGCATGAAGGCCTGTGTCCAGAAAGTGATTTCACCCTGAGTGTCATGGAGTACTTCTTGTGCCAGTATCTGCTGCCATTTGCTAATGAATGTACTTTCTTCTCTGTATTGCAACACTGAAGAGGGCAGAATGGTCCCATGCTCGCTTCTCCCAGTGGCTGGACGATCATCCATCTGAAAAGGACAGGCTCCTCCTTCTCAGGTAAAGCTATGTGTTCTAGGGGCACCATCTGGACTGGAGGCCCAGGAGGTCAGGAAATGTGGGGAGTGGTAAAAGAGTGGTGATTGTGTGGGCATAGACATGGCAGCTGCAGATCTTCAAGTGCCCTCATTGGACAGGCTCTTGCATGGTGGTGTCACTGGAGGCATTGGGCTGCCCAGTTCCTCCAGGCGTTCACCCCCTGTGCCAGTCCACGCCTGATGCTCCAGCTTTAAAACATCTCCAACTAGAAAAGGATCCACGTTGGCTCTGTGTTTTATGTGTCTTTTTCAGTGCTGCAGTCACTGAAACAGTGGCACTTAGATGTGAGTGAAATTTGAACAGTAACCGTTCTCGGCAGGAAAGGATCACTCAGAACCTACTTAGATACCGAATTCTCTGACTGTGGTCTCTGGATGCATTTCTGTGTGCAGTGTGTGTGTGTGTGTGTGTGTGTGCGCGCGCGCGCGCGCGTGCGCGCGCACGCGTGCATTCATCTCCAGGCATGAGCATTTGTGCATTCAGCTTGAGCATGTTTCTCCATCAGTACTCCCCTTTGAAACCCTCAGGAAACCCCACCAGAGACCTCCTCCCCCCTGCAGCTTTGTCAGAACTGGTCAGCACTTCCTTTACTTCAGCTGACTCAGCACACTTTATTGCCATGTGAGGCAAGCTCTGAAGTGGCCAGTCTTCTCTCAGCTTTACCTGATGATGTTTTTCTGGTCTCTTCCCCATCCATCCCATCTGCTGAATTGCTTCCTTTTATCTATTTCTTAAGTGTCATTGCCCACATTTTGTTTCTAACTTTTTGGTCTCAGTTGAGCTGATGCAGACACATGCTTCTTACAGTCCCCCCACCCCATAAACCCCAGGACTGGGACTCA